AGCGAATAGTTGTGAAAACCTTCCGTGTTCTTTAGATTATCTGGAAACCCGCTCCATTGTTTGTTGACTTGGTTTTAATATCCCACTGTATGCCATAACAGGATACATAGAATAGTCCGTAGCAAAGTTTTTACTTCCTAGTTCCATGGAGTCATGTAAGTGATGCGCTACCTCCAGAAATCTTTGTCCTGTATATTTAAACCAGGGGTCTCAAACATGCAGCACGGAAAGGTCTTTTGCTGTCGCCGAGTGGATATCAAAGTTGAGAGTCTGGGCTAATATGACATGTTATACATCCTTTTAAAGATAATTGGATCACAAAAACCATCATAACCTCATCAAAAGTAAGAAAACAAAAACAAATTTCAAGCAGCTGAACTCATTTTGTTCATAGAATTGTCTCAACAAAATATATCTACACTTTGACTTTTAAAAGTAATTATTTGATTAAAATGTGTTCATGATTATATAATGTCACAGATGCAAATGCTTAGCAAAATACAAAGTTTCCACAAACGCTTTCTGTCTCTGTTCTACATTAACAAACATGGACTTTCTCTAAAGTTAGTGTTAAAGAAAGAGAAGATGGGCTGTTTGCTCCTATGACCATATATTTGAGACTCCTGATTGTAGTGTTGAGTAGTGGAAATATTAAAAAGGATTTAAGTGAGAATAACATTAACAATTACATGCATTTCTTTGGTTACAATCACAAAAAACACCAATATTTATTCAGTTTAGTCTCTCCACTGTTGGCAGATTCTGATGGCTGAAAGACTGGACTCACTTGAGGAAATGGGTGGAGTCTGGTGTGCTCATGCTTGGTTGGAGTGAAAACCTGCAGCCAGACCGGCCCTCAGAGGACCGGTTTGACACCCCTGGATCTTCACCAGACAAGATGACATTGTTGCTATGACTCCTGAGCGGATTGGCTGCTTCAGGTATAACTCAAGTTTTGTGTGTGAAAACCATACTATAGGTGACAATAGCCGTTTAGAGACATGCAGCTCTATCTAGGAGCTGTTTGTACCCAGTCACACCCCTGTTTCTGATCCAGAGATTCTTCCAGAGCTCGAGTGATGGAAATATTAGCGGAAGAAATGCACGTCTTGTTTCTCTGTTTGCTTTGAAATGAAAGTTGTTGCTGTGATTGACATGCCCTCACTCATAATCACCGCCCACTCCCTCTCTGCATTCAAAGATGCTACGAACGCAACTAACCTTACAGACACGTCTTCAGATCAACTTTTTCATTCCAATCAAGCACTCCAGAATAATTCCATAAAGTCTTTAGGTTACTTGGTCGATTACTTGGTAGGTTACTTGGTCGGATTTGCTTTTTGCTGCAGCCACACGCACACTTTGAGGATCAGTTTGACAACCGCTCAAGACATTTTCACTGTTTATAGATCAGATACCAGAGCTTAAGTTAATGTCAGTTTCTTTTTGAATTGGGAAGTGAGAGTGGAACTTTTTGAGGACCAGCAGTAGTTAGACCCGCCCACGCTCACCTCCGCAACTTCCTGATTTGTCGAGGTGAATTCAAATCCTTAAGGCCCTTATTCGTCATTGATCATCATAGTTTTTCCAAGGGGAAGAACTATTTTAACTATCTGCATTTGCATCATTTCAAACCTCAACTTGTTTGGTTATTGGCAGTAAAATCTGTCTTTCCAAAACACAACTTGGTAAAGGGCAAATTCTAACCCTGTTGGATCTTTTTCTTTTCTACAAAGGTACTTATCTGTTTGGGAAAATGAACTATTCTTTTGTTCTCTTCATAATAAAACCGACATAATTTCATCTCAGCTCGCCGGAGACAACACACACACACACACACTCTCCCCCTTTCAGTTTGTCCCCAGGCTCTTTGGGCCTAGGACCAGTGCCCTCCCGGATGACAAATGGCCTTAATGAAATTGGACAACTCAGCATACATGCATAAGAGGACGTTAAATATTGATAGCGAAGATCAACGTCGCGGTGCATATTCCACTCTTTAATATTTTAAGTGTCAGACCGTCCTATTGTCTATCTATTGTATGCATGGAAAGGGGGGGGGGGGGGGTTGCAGAGGGTAAATCAGCGTCTTTGTCCCCCACGCGCTCTTCTTCTGATGGCCAGGCAGGCAGCATTCACTCAGCCACGCATGACAGCACCCAGGTCTGCACTTTGCATATATGCGCGACAAAGGACACGCGTCTTATCATACATTTTCATTCTGATCAAGCGGCTTTTATGCGCAAGCAAGTAAATGAAAGGCATATATTTATTAAGTGGACTTGCTTTCGGCACGCTGCGACCTGCTGAAATAAGCTACTGTGATTGCGTCGGTGAGATGGTAAGCAGATGAGAAAACACGCCGCTGCGACGTATAGTGAATGGGCTAAAGTAAATTTATAAGGCCGTTTATTTATTTTTGAGATATGTTCGTGGATCGATCATAAGCATTTATCATGGGCCATTTTGTCCTGTGAAACTGTAAACTAGTGAAAACATGCTTGTTGTCTTTTTTTGGGTAAAAAAAGACAAGTTTTGGACATTTCATTGGCATAATGTTAAAGGAGCAATATGTAAAATAAAAATCAAAGTAAAAAGTGGTACTGCCTGACTCAGGTTGCCAGATATGCAGACGAATCCAGCTGGGACCACAATAGCTGAATAGAGACAGTTTTGTCAACAGCAAATCTATAACCAACACCTTTTTCACACAGGCCCCGATAGAAATCCTAGTTGTATTTCTTGTTTTGTTATTAATGATTTGAGAATCATAACAAGACCTTTTTTAGTTCTGCGGCCACATGTTTCTTACCACTGAGATTAGCTGGACACAGTGAGTTCTGGCAACCCGGATTGCGGACTTTCTGATAGTTAAAATTGTGGAGGGCTGGACATCAAAATGAAAACAACATATAATAATACAGCTTTGTGCCAACTGAACACACAAAATAAACTTAAGTCCACTTTTATGAATGCCGAAAGGTTTATTTAATGACTGCAAATAAAATAGTTCCCAAAGGTTTTGCCGGGCCGTGGCTAGACTTTGTTATTTGTCCAGTGGTGTGATCACTGTCTTAATCTGACTTTATTGACCAAAGGATGTTGTAGTTGTTGAATGTTCTACACAGATCAACAGTCTATGACATTTCAGCTTTATTACTGTAGATGGTTTGATTAAACTAAATGACAAGAGAAAGCTGATTCAATATATTCAAAGAGGATGATGAAACAATATCAATACATGATGTATACTGTATCATGAACCAGAGATCTCACACAAATCTACTCATGACCTCCATAACTTAGTTTAAGCAGTAATAATGTGAAGAGTCAAAACGCATGAAATATTAATGATGAGTTCATGATGAGTTCATAAATGATTTACCTTCATTTCTGATGATCATCATGAGTTCCACAAAGAACAATGACGCATTTGTTATAGTTATTATAAAGTGGCACCAATTATTTTGTTTTACCCTTGTCCGTCCGTCCGTTTTCTTCCGCTTCATCCGTTGCCGGGTCGCGGGGGCAGCAGTCTAAGCAGAGACACTCAGACTTCCCTATCCACACACACTTCCTCCAGCTCGTCCGGGGGGACCCCAAGGCCTCCTCCTTTACCCTTGTGTTATTTGTAATTTTCTTCCTTAATTGTGTGTTTTGTGTCAAATATGTGGTAAAATACTATGAGATTTTTATTTATTTTTTATTGATAGTATTTCACACACCCCTCTTTGAGAACCACTGTGATTGGATCAGAACTAGAAAAGTACAGGGATGTGTTAATGGGAGCTGGGGTATGTAATTGTCAAACCGAAAGTCCAACTAGTTCCGTGCGCTAAAACAGTTTGGTTCTATCACTTTTCCTCTGTCCCGTCTTTAGATCATTTTTGTCAGACAGAAGAAACGAGATCAGCCAATCAGATCTCAGCCCAAAGCAGTGACTAATGACTGAGAGAGCTCTTTTTTCTTTTCCTTGTTTTAAACAATATCCAAAGATAATATGTTTTCCAATGATTAAAAACAGCATATTGTTTTCTGACTTCTTCAGACACAAAAAATATGACATTCGTCCCACAGTGAGGAAATTTCAGTGTTGCATCGCAGTAGAAATGAGGAGCACACAGCACAAGAGAAAAGAATAACAACTCTATAGTTGTTTTTTATGTTAAAATTAAACATAAACTCTAGCATGAAAGTAATTTATGGAACTGACTTGTATGTGTACTATTTTTGGTATATTTATTAATTGTGAAGCGCTTTGTGATCCTGGTCTGTGAAAAACGCAATATAAATAAACTTTACTTACTTAAAAAAAAACTGTATAAGATCTCTATATTTTGCATAATAAGGAAAGAAGTCCAAAATCTCCAGCTTTAGCATGATGCAACAGCAAGATTTGCGCTCAAAAACCCCTGACTTTAGCATAATAACAAGAAATAATAATAATAAAAAATACAGTATATTCTAGTGCAAGTAATATTGTATGTATACAGCTGTATACAGTATGTAGCAGTGAAAGTGAAAGTAACACATGTGCTTCTAAATACACCACAAATCCCCAGTCTATTGCATGTCATATATGAAGGATATTACAATAGGGATTTTTACAAGCTTTCTCCATTCACATAAGCAAGACAGTATGGGTTAACTCCATTTTGGTTAACAATTACACATTTTTCTTGACATATAAACCATTGGCTCAGCTCTCTGCATGAATCTGCCGTATACACTTATCACAGCGGCTCCTCCGCACCTTTAGGGCGTGCCGTTTAGCCGCACAGTCGCAAAGGCAAAGATCACACGCATAACCATTATTCAAATCGATTCAAATTAGGCGAGGGCACTCAAAGTAATCGGCTAATATCCTACAAAAAAAATCAATTCCACTCCCATTTGGACACAATTGAATGCGTTTGAAGAGGGCAATTATTAGACACACAGATCAGATTCATAATTGGCAAGGCGGGGGCACATTGTCATAAGGGGGTAATGTACTTCCAATGGAGCTGGTGTGGGAGAAGGAGCTGCAACGGGATTGGCTGATGGAGATGCCAGGAGATGGTTGTGAAAGGGGGTGAAGACAAGGGGGCACCTTTGGGACCTTGTCTAGCTGGGGGGCCCTGTCTCCATGCATTGAAACCCCCACCAGTTCGTCTTCTTGTTTCGCTTCCCAAGAGCCCAGGCATATTTTAAAGTATTGCAATTTATAATAAGAAACGATATGCAGAGATTTCTGGTGTGGATGTCTGAATTCTGAGTATGTCTTGGTGTCGTTGGGAAACCAGTGATTGGGTAGAATTTATTGATTTACATTAAGTTCTATTCCAATCTAATCTTGAAAAAATCTTTTTATATTCTTTCACATGTGTCTAAAAAAAGTGGTTGTCCCGGGATCCCACCGCGGGGGAAGCAGGAGGATGTGGAAAGTGGAACAAATATATAGCACTTTTGTGCAATTGATTTGATTCAATGTTGTTTGTTTCAACTTGTTAAAAGTAAAAATAACAATTGTAAACTGCTTCGTGACTCTGGTCTGTGAAAGGTGGTACATAAATAAACATGACTTACTTACTTAAACCAGGTACAATATTAAGTAGTCCTAGCATTCTAGCTAAGTCCCAGCAGGTGGTTTGCATCAGTAACCTGTGATAGAAACTTTATGGGTCACAGGCAGGAGGATGCTGAAACAAAAAATGGAATAGTAATTTTCATCACTTTTTCAGACCACTACGAGCATATTACAGTCACTTCGAGCAATACAATTATTGTTGGTATGTGCATAGATGTTGATAAAACCTTGGTGAGTTTTACAGTGCAGCTTTATGGTCTTATGTAATTTCCCATCATAAATTTATAACAGAATGTTTATATAAATATGTGGTCAAGGGCCTAGAACAATTTACATCTCTATACATTCTTTCAATGGAAGTGCCATCAAAGTAGATATCTCAGAGGAACTATTGTAGTTGAAATGGAGTTCACTTATGTTTATTTTTTCTTTAGAAATTAGCAAAGCCATATAAAGGTCAGTGGGTTTGAAACATTGCAATAATACAGGTCCTTTCTTGTTGGGTAATTTCTCCTAATTTCACCGAAAGGGCAGGTGCCATTACAACTCAATGGAACACCAGCTATTTTTTATTGTGATTAGATTCATAAACCTGCAGTTTTTATGTCAGAAAGTCCTTTTTACTGACCAACATTGTGCATATGTTTTTGAATATTGCCACGACTTTGAGACACTTTTATGAGAAAAATGATTGGATTGACTTTGGATTGATACAGTCTGACATTGAACACCTTCCATAGTTACCAGGAAATATTGTCCAGCCACAATTTGAGGCTATAGCCTTTTTTTTGCATGCTGTGATGTCATATGAACGCAGCCTATACAATTCATAAAAAAAAGTTTCTATTTTGGATTCAGGTCAACAGTATATCGGGAGACCATTATATTGAGCTGTTGGTAAATTAGCCATCAGACATTGTGCCATCCAGGACTTATGTGAGGACACTTATGGGACAGTACCACCCCCACCCAAATGCACACACACACACGCACACACACACACTATCTCTCTCTCTCCTTCCCATCGTTCTCTACCTCTTCTCTTCTCCGTCTGTCCCCGGGAGGCTGGCTTCACTGCGGGGCCCATGACACACTGGAGGGATGACCCTGGGAATCTCATTATGCATACAAGCAAAATGCGCCCCTCCCTACCACCCCCCCATTTACATCCACACTGCCACCCGTGCAACCCCTACCTCTAACCGCCCCCCTGCCAGTCCATTTGCATACAGAAGACAGACCAAATAAGGTTATAAATCAGGAGCCTATATTCAAATGGTTTGCTGGGAGATTGAAACGCCTGCATATACTACTGGCACAAGTAAATTCAGCCACATGACTACGAGACCCATTCTCATCAGCGGACAGCAGGCGCGCTCCATCCACCGGACACGCTCATATAAATATATATATCATGCCTCATTGCATTGCCGGGGGACCAACTACCTCAATATATCAATATACATATGCTTATACCTCAGGCGCCTTAGGCAAACTAACTGGCTCGGTTATATGGCGGCTCTTTGGTGGCACGCGAAGGTCACCGCTCGTACTGAAAGAGGGGAGAAATTTGAATATCGCACTTAATGTCCACTGCCAATGCACGTCGCTTCATCAATAATAGAATACAGAAATCAAAGTCATTTCCTTAAGGTGAGAGATTGCCAGGGGTTTCATTTTTCAACGCAAGGCCAGCGTGAAACTGAGAAACGCTTTTGTCCACGCCAACACAATAGCTTTTAAAAACACTTGAATGTGATGAAATGAATGTGAGGGCAGTGAGTGGCAGCTTGTCTGGTATTATCATATTGAAATGACATTGAAAGGTTTGTTTGCGAGGATTTCATCACCGCATTCTTTATGTTTATGGCTCGTTCAAAGGTCTCACATCTTTTTGTTCCACCGTCGCTTGTCGAGAAGTGGTCTTTCTGTCAGAGTATGTGTTGCTTATTGTAGTACTATTCAGTTGTTTTTTTACTGATTATTTGGATTAATATCGGTCTAAAATCCTTACATGGCCTTGGAAGTACCTTGATTACACGTCCAATTTACTGTATGTCAGAACCTAGCGAACCTTCGACATTCAGAACTAGATCTGTACTTTAAAAGAACCAAGGCAAAAATATAGTGTTCACCAATTGAAAGGCTGCTTCCAAATTCAGGAAAAAAACTCAACACAACAACGACCCCTCCCTTATCCTTCATTGTTAAAGCTGGGGAACCTAACTTTTCATAAATAATACAGTTCTGACACAACAGAAAGTGGATTCAAAATAAAACATTCATAAAACACACGTCTTACTCTGGGGCGACAGTGGCTCATTTGGTTGAGCATTGGCCTTAGAGCCTGAAGTTGTGGTTTCGAGTCCACCACAAGACCGACTTCACAACTCTCACTGATGACTGCTGTCGTTGTGTCCTTGGGCAAGACACTTAACCTCACTTTGCCTGAAGCCCCACTGAAAGATCTCAACTCCTGTGGACTCACCACCTGCAGGAGGATCAGTGAGGGGCTGGTGCTCTGTGTACTGGGTGCAGCTCTGACTGCCACCCCCTCAACCCAGAAATGGATTAAGGGGAAGAAAATGGATGGATGGATGTCTTTATCTGCTTAGTAGACCTTTAATTATTTTTGCAATATTTTATTTCTATATTTTGCATAATGTGAGCTGAGAGCTGATTGGCTGAATAAGGGCGGTCATCTCTTTATCACTATTCATCAAAAATCATCTGTCTGAAAACGGTGATCTAAAGATGTGACAGATTTTTGTGGTTTGGAAGTTAGGTACCGCAGCTAAAGAAGGTCTGCGGCAGTTAAAAATTCTTTAGCTGCGGTACCTAACTTCCAAACCACAAAAAAAGTAAATACCCTATATGAAATAAAAATAATAGTATACAGTAGTAAATCAGCTCCATGTAAAATCAGTAGTCCTGTGATTTTCTCCATAAACAACGTTAAAAGATTTCTTAGGCTGGAATCTGGCTTGAAAACGCTCAGAGATGACATGATCAAAAGTGTGTAACCTAATGCGGCGGCTTGATGCTGCTGATTATAAAGCATTTGAATAGATAAATGGGAGTATTAGTCTGTTGTGCACGCTCCAATAGGACACAGCCAGTCGGAATAATACAATCAGATCCTAAACGGAGAGAGATGTTATTTATTGTGTGTGTGCGCTGAATGCCACTGTAATATGTATTGTAATCCGCTGGAAGAGAAAAAAAAAATGGCTTGACAAGATTCCACCTTAGCCCCGCCTATAAACTCCATTCTATCATAGGGGAGGGAGGAAAAAAATGTTTTTAAGTAACATGCAAATAGCGATCCATCAATCAATTTGCCGGTCCCAAAACCGCCATCAAAGAAGCAGAGGCTGTGAAGTATGCGATTCCACGTCAACAAATGGAGGAAAGGAGCCGGATCTTTCAAGTTAATTAATGAGAACTGTGCCACTATTACTCGGTTTGTTTAGCAGAGGGCAACTTGTCCTTTCTGCGTGCAAACCAAATTCTACATGATCGACATTAGCAAAGCCAACCCAAATTCTCTTCGTGTTTTTAATGTATTCCTCGCAAGACTGGATGTGTCAGTATTTTGATTCCTCCCTATGTACAATTCCTTCAAAGTATCGCGCAATAATTATCACGTTTCTATTTGTAGGCCAGATTGAAAAAAAAGTCATTTGTGTGAGATTCCAAAAGTTCACGCTCCATCCAAATACTTCTCGATAGCCAATTACAGCTCAGGAAACACAATATGAAAAGTCTATTTTTGCAAATCCGGAATCTATAATAATAACGAGGGCAAATAAGACGGGGAGAAAACGCACAAGTTTGTTCAAAAAATGTCAAGCGCCAACTTTCTGTAGGCAGCCCAAATGGAAATGAGACAATGTAAATAATGGTTTAATCAAATCTCCCTCCAGTGTAAATCCAAAGTGAAATTCGCCAAAAAATACCAAGAAACTTTTCACCCTCTCGAGCTAATAACTGGCGACAGGGAAGAGAGCTTAAACAAAAGATCAGTCAAGCGTTCATCTGAATATTCAAATCCTTTTTAATAAAACTCGGCTTGATCCATTTTCCCGTAGATTTGCCGAAAACGCTCGTGTGGTATCGGAGCCAACATGGTTTTAATTTTTCGCAGCAGAAGGGGGAAATGAAACAGTAGCATTAGCCGGTTTGAACCAAAGTTAGATGTTCAATATTTAAGCGCAGATGTTACATTCATCTTTTTGGTCAGGTGACTGGGGCCTTTATTGAGTTATGTTTGATATTACAGAGGATGGGGCAGAGTTACAGATATCATTGTGTTATTTCAGAATATATATATTTGATGTATTCGAACGGAGAATGCATGTATTGCTTGACCTAATGTAAAAATTAAAGCTGAGGTACGTAACTTTATTTTCCCGTAAATAATATTGTAGGTTTGTCCCAACAGAAGGAGGAATCAGACCACAACATCCTGTCTTCACCGTATCGGAAAACGTTGCAACAGAGGACAGAAATACGGTAGATAAATACTGTTATGAGAAGAACTTAGAAGAATTGTGATCTTAAAGTTCTCCAAATTTAAGCTTATTCACAACTGAACACTTGCTAAGAGAAGCTAAATATGTCCATGTATTTATTAGCCCTATATTATGTGTCTTAGAACTAAAACTATCCAAGAGTTGACAATCACAAAATTTTCGCAAAAGTGGCAAAAAATGGTCTCAAAGCTGGGGTCGCCTAACTCTTTCAGACAGAAAAGGGACACAGTGAGGACCACCCTCTCTTCGCCAGCTCTCAGGGCTCTTACTAGCAAGTATGCAAACGATAACATGTTTAGCTGCCATGCTAATTTCTATTTGTTAGTCCTTAACAAGATAGAAATTTATCAAATAATAAAATACATACATACATAAGTGTAATATGAGGTGAAAGATCAGAATCAGAATCATTTTTATTGCCTCGTAAGTAACAGGAGGTCACAGACTTGGAAGATACGAATACACGTGCATATCAAACAATTATCCAATTTTCATCAGTATTTTTTAAACTGTATAAAAGGTTTGGACACAGATCAAATTGTCTATTCCTTTTAAAACTAGAGCGAGGGAAAGAATAATAAATCCCAAAAGTGAGTTACCTACAACAACACTATTTTCAAATTAAAACACAATCTTTTTTACATTCAGGTAAAACAGGTTAGAACCCAGGAGAGTTATTGGTATAAATGTTGAACTTGTACCCCACTATAAGCTGATATACATGAATAAATATGCTATGTTATTGATATGATATATATTTTATATTTGATAACAGATCAATCAAGATCCATGCATTTGTGTTGTAATGGAGTATAATGTAAAAGTATAACAGTCGTAAAAAGGCAGAGTTTAAGTTAGTATTAGCTTGATAATAGGATATTGTTAACTTGATAGTGGTAACAAAACTTGTCGTATTGAAATTTAAGAAAGCTGGAAATGACATCTGAAAGTGGGGACTAGAGAGGTAAATCGCCTTTCATTCCACCATTGCAATATTGGGTAAGGCTACATATACAATCCATGTATTATGTAAAAAAAAAATATACGCCCGAAAACTCTGAGCCTTATTAGCAAAGCCTAAATCTGTTTTTATCCTTCCACAGTGCAAATATAGCTGCTCCTGTTCTCAAGGCCTCAGTACTCATAAACAAAGTGATTTATTCAAACTTTCCATATCAGAATTCTGCTATCTAATTACTTCAGGGGGGGGCGACAGCATATTCCAGTCGTCTGTGAGTTATGGAGAATCCTCTTTATGAGTGAAGTTGATGGAGGATCAGGCGAAGAGCTCGTCATAAATCCTCAATAATGCAAACGTTTGAGGAATATCTCAAAATAAAAATGCAAATGTGATTAAGAATGGGTTAGCCGTGCTGATATGGCAGCTTGTATCATCCCGGAGATTCACCTATATGTACGGAGGGAAGGAGGAAGGGAGGGAGGGGAGAAAGTGTCTTGTACTAAGCAGGCACTCAAATAAATAAATACAATTTCAAACAGATCTGCATGGTCGCCGTATGGTAATTTCGTCTTAAAGCGCACATACAGTTGCGGAGATTTACACGCACCGAAGCCATGAAAGTGTATAACCCAACATTTTTAATCTAGACATGTATGTGGGCCCCTAACGAGAAGGGATAAAGTTTTAGGAGGGGTGTGCGCAAAGGGAAGGAAGTGAAGGCTGGCCAATGCAAATGGTTCGGCGATAAAAATAAAAAAAATAAGAAAAAGAAAAAGAGAAAAAAGTGTGGTAGGGTACAATGCAAGAGCTTGTTAGTGACTGAGAAGCGAACAGTGAGCCTCGATAGCGACACCTCGTCACTCGCCTTTTATCTCCCCTCACCGCCGGATGAAAAATCACTGTGAATGCGCCACATTCGTCCTGCATTAGCATAACAAAGCCCCGCGCGAGGAAGAGAGAGATCGCGCTATACCGGGCCACAGCCACTGTCCCTTACTCGCAAATGTCCAAGAATTGACACAAAAAGGGGGAAAAAATAAAAAATAAATGAAAAAAGGGAAAAAAAAGCATGCAGAGGTTTTGTAGCTAGTGTTAGAGATTCATGTTAATATCTTTTTCACCGCGGTGGAAGTCAGAGAGAGAGAGAGAGAGAGAGAGAGAGAGAGAGAGAGAGAGAGAGAGAGAGAGAGAGAGAGAGAGAGAGAGAGAGAGAGAGAGAGAGAGAGAGAGAGAGAGAGAGAGAGAGAGAGAGAGAGAGAGAGAGAGAGAGAGAGAGAGAGAGAGAGACAGAGAGAGAGAGAGAGAGAGAGAGAGAGAGAGAGAGAGAGAGAGAGAGAGAGAGAGAGAGAGAGAGTGAGAGAGAGAGAGAGAGAAGGCCGGGATGACCCTGATCTTTTAAGATGTCTTGTCTTGTCGTCACTTGCAAATGTCCTGTCACTGTGAATGGCTCGAAAATATAAAAGAACATTTATTCTAATCTATCACAAGTAGGTGTATTCTGCCATATTAAAGTTATTTTTGTTTTAGCATATTAAAGCTGGGGTGCGTAACTTTCAAATCCCCAAAAAATATTAAAAAAAAAAACGTCTAACTAGTTTTTCGCCCTCGAAACAGTTTTGTTGCATCTTTAGATCAGGTTTTTCAGACAGAAATGTGAACAAGAGACTCAGCCACTCAGCTCGTTGTCCAAAGAGTCAAATAGTGACTCACAAGGCTCTTTAAGGTTACGTGCAAAAGGTAATGTGGTCTTCTTCCATTTTCAATACTCTTCCTGTTGGGACAAATACAGTATATTTTTCTAAGGAGAACCCCAGCTTTAGCGTCTAATTCATGTATTTACTTTTTTTATTTCTAATCAATTGTTTCTGCAAATAATGTGTGGTGGAGAGGCGCACCTGTTCAATCTCAATGTGTTGGTTTTGATGTGAAGTTTTTGCAGAGTAATTGAAAGTTGTAGAAAAAGCACCATCTGCAGTAACAAGGAATGCACTGTTCATATTATTACTTCATTGCGTTGGGTCATTGTGGTTCTAATACACACACGATAACGTTTACTTTTGACATATAAGATTCAGAATCAGATTCAGATACAGATTCATTTATTTGCCATTTGCAGTAAAACCACATAGGAAAAACTGTGCAAGACTACCCCAGTTTGCACCAGACGACACACACCAGAGCTCTTGCCAAAACGTTTCACTTTGTTCACCGTGGGCGGCATGGTGGCGTAGCGGTTAGAGCATGTGTATCATGGCAAGAAGGTCCTGGGTAAGATTCCACCTCCAGGCCTTTCTGTGTGGAGTTTGCATGTTCTCCCTGTGTCTGCGTAGGTTTCCTCTGGGTGCTCCGGTTTCTCCTGCCACTAAAAAGATGTACTATAGTTCTGAATGCAATGAGTGAGTGTATGGATGGTGTTGATTGGAGGCTTTGATGCAGCAGAGAGTTCGGCGTCTCGCTTCCGTCATCACCGTGTGTGAAGAGAATGGAAAAAAACTCTGAATGTAAAGTGCTTTGGGTGACCTTGGTCTGTAAAATGCGCTATATAGATTAACATTACGTACTTAATCTCAGTCCTGTAATATTATGATGTCATTGTACCACTATGACATCATACTCATCATGCTTTTAAAACAAAAGTAGTGCCTGAATGAATGAGAGGAGGCAATCGCTCCTGTGAAATGTGGCTGTGTGAGGTTATGGTAAAACTAGCTATAGATATGAATGTATGTCCCCAAAAAGAATGTAAATGTATCAGTGTGTGCTGCTAAACATACACACACACACACTCACACACACCTACACTCACACAGACACACACACTTAAATACATTCCCCCAACTCATTTTCCTCCAATTGTCACATTATGCAACCATGTATTTACAGATATGGATATACGTTCACCCACTTTCAGACGGCTTCCAGTCATTCTTCGACTCTGTCAGACTGGATGTGAACAGATGCCACCTAAAGTAGAGCTGTCGCGGACGCACACGGCCTCATCTCAGCACTCAGCACAATGAGCAGAACTGAATTACACACTGGTCTCTATCTTCCTTTTTAAAACGCCACAAAAGGTAGGACTCATCACCTCTTCTGCGCGCTGCCCCTCCCTCCCCCCAGCATCTTCATACAAAGCTCATTGGGCAGAAAGAGGCAGAAAGAGGAATGGGAAAGCAAGGGGGGTTGAAAGACATTATGCATATGAAAATGTCCTGAAAGAGGTGTGATTTATGTATGCATTAGATGCAGATTCCATTACGGGCCAGTGGCTCAAGTGAGATCTTTCCAGGAACAGCGCGGCGACCTGATCACAGCGCGCTCTCATTACTGGCCACACGGGCAGACGCCGCTCAGCCCACAAAGAGCAGCACGAGAAGGAGGAGACGATATTTACAACCTGGACACACGCCTCACCCGCTGGGGAGGTTGTGGTGTGGGAGGGGGGGGAGTAAATTGCAATCTGCCCTCCAAGACCGCTGCAGATCAGAGCCAGCGCACCTGAAGACGAGCGTGAGGATGGGATTGTGCAAATGTGTCCATCTGTCCGTCCGGCAGCGAGGTTTAGATAAATGTGGTCAGCTGTGAAATGCCAAGCCTGAGCACACGGTTGCAAACTAACTTGGAGAATAATAAGCAGTATCAGGTCTCAAATGGATGCAGATGAAGGATATGGCACAGAGGAAAACACAAAAGGCAAAATGGAGAAGATGTGACGGGTTCGGTTTGGGAGCGGCCATGACAAATCATGTTTTGGTCCTGACTGAGATGAGTAGGACATGAATGAAAGAGAAAAAGCGAGAATTTCTGGACTTTTGGGGAGGAAAGACTGGCAGAATATAGACCGAAACTTTTCTGGTGTACATTTATCATTTGTTTACAGTACCATAATGAAAATTCCTTTTTGACTTTGGCTCAGAACCAGATCACACGTTTTTCTGTAAAGCCATATTGTAAATAGTTGAAAATGAAACTTTTTCAAGCTGTAATTGTTATAGAATAGAATAACTTTATTGTCTATCAAGAGTAGTGATGACAGCACAGAGGTATATGTGCCACATTTTTGTGAAACATTCATTGCAAAATAGTAAATAAAATCCCATTTTTAGAAATACAAGCGGATGAAAGACTATTCCATGAAAAATGAGATAACGTACTTAGTGGGGAAACTCCATAATAATAATAATAATAAAGCATTGGTTTTATATAGCGCTTTTCAGGACACTCAAAGACACTTCAAATGTCATAATTAATTCTCTTCATACATGGTGGTGAAAACCAGTATTTGCCATCAACCCCTTCCATCACCACCAACCAGTCACACATACACCAAACTCATTCTAAGCAATGAGGGTGAAGCGTCTTGCCTAAGGACACAACCAAAATTTAGCCTCTTACAGCCTCCGCCGCTCCACTGTGGCACCTGGTGTTGCCAGAGGTCTCCCATCACAGTACTAACCAGGCCCTGCACTAACACAGCTTCAGAGGTCTGATGGGATGTGGCTTTTGCAAATACTTTTCATTAACAAAATTGGCAGGGAAGTATAAGATGAATGAATGAAGCTGGGTCTTAATGCATTGAACAATTGGTTAATCTTGCAATGCAATACATACATTTCCTTTGCTATAATGACCATATTCAAATCACCCGCATACATTCGGATAATAATCATTGCCATTACTCTGCCCCACAAGGCTCCATCCTCCATCCCTGTGCTGGCCACGCTGTAGCCTCCATGCATGCCTAAACAGATATATTTAGGTGCATGCATGGTGGACGCCCTGGGTCGAGGTGGCGTGGAGGCGGGGAAGCTTGTTTGGCTTGATAATCACGTGCCAGCTCCAGATAAGGAAAAAGCGTTTTGTGAAAAGAAAACACGAGCAGCAGTCCTCCGTGCGGCCTGACCTGGCGCTGCAGCCTCTGTGATTGGGGTCATCCTGGAGACTCCTCTTTGGCCGGCCTAATGTGATTGCATCGGAGCAATCCCCTTAAACGCCATCAGCTCTGATCTGCATAGTAATTGGCTGGGCTCTCCTTGGACATAACCTTGGGGAGGGGCACTGTCACGCCTGCCTCTCTGGCTCATGTACCAATCACACATCCAGCAGTACACAGGATCAGTCAGAGCGGGGCAGAGGGTATAGCTGCCCGATACGGCTCAGGAGAGGCCCATGCAATGTGAAAAGACAACAAAGACCGGGCAGGGACAGTTGTGATGTTTTGCAATCAAATGTTTAACTCGATAGGCAGGTAGGTAGCTAGGAAGAACTATTTTTTGTCTCCGTAGGGAAGTTTGATCTCTACATTTCACTTATCATCCACTTCTCGAGGACTGTACTGAAACTGGAGAATTTTACTCATGGTGCATGTCTTGAATGGTGTGGGAAACCGGAGCTCCCAGAAGAAATCCATCCAGACATGGGGAGAAACAAACTCAACACAGAAAGTTCTTCCCATTCCCCCATTGTGCAACCATAGAGGTGTGGACCAACACCAACAGAGGCTCACGAGGTTTGCTGTTGAATTGGATGCAAAAACAGGTAAAGAAGAGGCGAGTTTTTAAAAAAAAATCATCACAAAGGCAACACACAGTCCTTAACATGAATTTCAAAACCATTCATTGATAAGAAAATTCAGGTACATGGGGAGATCATGCAAAGTAGACTTTTGATATATCTTAACCATGTGTATTATTCTGCATTCAAGCTGATGCTCTGACATTAGCAATGTTTCCACTGGTAGGCTATACAACCACTGTTCTTCACTTACTTTGTTGATCTTCCCTCCTCTGCCATTTCACGATGTAAAAAAATACTGTTTTGCTGCTATGTCAACATTTGGATGTGGTGTTGTGCCGGCACCACCATCATTACCGCACTTTCAATATGGAAGTCAGCAGGCACATTTCAATTCATGTCACAAGAAAAGAGGGAAAAAGTGTGTGTTCATTAAAGATATATGCAGAGTATGCAAAGTATTTAACATTTAAAAATCAACTCCAGTTGTCTAACCTGATTTAAGATAATAAGTCTAGTCCTGCTTTCTCCAGCTATATTTCCATTTAACTGAGAACTGGAGTCCAAACGATTTCATGCTGAACACACTAGGTCCAGACGAAACATGTTCTGCTGTGGGTCATTCATGAACCTATAAGAGATTGCAAAACTGATTTCAGAAATAAATCAAGTACATTCGATTCATAGTTGTCCTTGGGTTTATTCTTTTTTTTACCCAAAAGGCCCTGGTCGCCTCACACACTGAGCAACATGGCGCGGTCTGTCAGAATGACTGGCTAGTTAAAACCTTGCGAGGTCGCCCAAGCGTGTTCAGTCTTAATATTCCAACCTAATATAACAGTCATTTAGACATCAATTGAAATTAAACTGTTTTATGGTCCGTTGCTTACGAGTGGGTCAGGTGATGCAGGTTATAAAACTACCTGAAGTCAAACAAGGGACAATATTTAGGGATAATAACAAGTTGTGTACCAAGAAGGAAGCTCTTACCATTAAAAGTGTTTTTTTGGATGTGCTGCTCTTTCCTTTATTAAATTGTTCTTGTTTTTTTATTGTTCCACATGGATTATAAGATCGCTGTAGTCCATTATAATGTGATTCTATGGGGTATGGGGACTTTATTTTGTCAAAAATTTGGTTTGACCCTTTTATGTTGATGTAAGTTTGACTGTGCTGAAAAGCTAACGTGGGTCCAAGCAACACGCCAACCTTTCTCCTGTCACATTCACAGATGCAGACTTCATCTTTGTCGATGTAAGTATAGCCTATTACGTTTAATAAATCTGTAGCAACAATCTGACCACTTCAGTAGGTATACCCATATCACAAAGTTGATCTATATTGATATAGATTTGTCGTTGTGTCCATGGGCAAGACACTTTGCCTGAAGCCCCCGCTGAAAGATCAAGGCTGTGTTGGCACTGTGGACTCACCACCTGCTGGAGGATCAGTGAGGGGCTGGTCTTCTGTGAATTGGGTGGCAGCTGATTGCCACCCTCCACCCCCCAGCCCAGAAATGGACAAAAGGGAAAGAAGATGAATGGATGGATGGATGTGTGCTACTCATTCCTGCTGTTCTGCAACCGTTAGGGCAATACTGAAAGGTACCTACTATGGGATGAATAAAGGCTCTCTTAATCGTAATTATTACACATCTCTTGGTGTTCAGCACATGTCAAAGCAGCCAACTGTAGCTTGGACCTTGTTCTCAGAGCAGCTCAAAGCAGCATACGCTCCACAGCCCACCACAAGTGTGAGCGTTTAGTATCTGCCACACTGTCCCTTTGAGTTAGTGCTTTCCAGGCAGCCCAACGCAGCTGATAGTGCCTGAAAAACCTTTAAATCTGTGCAGAGCATAAATTAATCTATTTTCATGATCAACAGTATTTCATATCATCACGCCGCCCAACTACACTGAGATAGAGGTTAAGTCATGCCGCTGCAAGTTCCATTTTTCAAACAAACGCTGTAACCTTCTCTCTTTTTGTCCTTCTTGCATCAGCAGTATTTGTTGAAGATGTTAACGAAAGACAAAGCAGCAAATGTATATTTTATGAATGTGCGCCTCTGGTTTATCTTCCTTTGTGGGGCTTGTGTATACAATCGGAAACCAGCTCTGCAAAGAGAAAAGGCGCGTTTCTTCTGTCTGTCCCCCGATGTCAACGACAAGGTAAGTTGTGGCTTCGCCTGGCTTTTTGATATGCATTTCAAACAGGGGAGAACTTCACAAACCATCCACGCCTAATTTGCAATGGAGATTTTTTTCCCCTTTTTTATTATTATTATCTGTTTCCTCTGCTTCGGAAAGCAAAACAGTCACGAGTGTCAAGCGAGTGACAAGTTTGTTTTTTCCAGTAATGATTTGCGCAAACTTGAGGTCTGTTCTGTTTTGTTCCTTCGACAGTTTGACCTAGTTGGAGAGCAAGCGCGTCCCTACGTTCATTCCCTCGCTCATGCATTGTTAAAGTTGTGGGCCTCTAAAGTTGTCACATGTCGCAAGGAGCAAATAGTTACTGTGTGCTAATTATAACCGTTCAGCCCACTGCAAACAGCATCACTTCAGAGGGGATGAGGGTTTTTGTTAAGGGTCAGTTTTGAGGGCATAGGGTTAGACTAGGGTTACATTTGCTTTGAAAGCCGCTCCCATCTGTAAAGTGACACTCCCTCAGCTTTAAGTGCAAAACATTAAACCACTATGCCATCTTTTTATCCTCACTTCTGACTAACCCTCTGCTTGGCCACAGACCTATTGGATAATTCATTTGAAACATCAGCGCCGAAATGGGCCCAAGTGTCTGCCGAAAAAAGTTTTTCTGAGGCAAATGGCTCAGAGTGAAAGGGAGTGAAGGGGGGACTAGCATGGGGCCCGCAGGATTCGACTGGAGCGCACCCAGCCTGGAAAAAAAGGCAAAAAATATAAAAAATAGAAGTAGAAGAGCTTTGTTAGAAGAGCGAGAGGCATCCCTTGGGCTGTCTCTTTGAATAAGCCGCGAGTAAAGGATCCAGCGCACCCCCCCACGCCCACCACTCTTCTTCTCCCCCCTCTCCATCACCCCCTCCCCATCAGCCCTCCTCTCGTCACGGCGACAGAGCCATAATTGTGCCAGGGGGTTTAAGGTGCGCTGACATATCTGTCACCTGGAGATGAGCATTCCGCCGCTATACCTTGCTCTCCAGAGAAGCCTTGCTGTCCCGTTTGGGGGGCACAGGGAGAAGGTGATGGAGAGAAAAGAGGAAGGGGATGGCTTCCCTGCCTGTTTGTTGACTTTTGTCACTGCATTTTTGATGCTTTGTAAACTTTTCCCTAAAGTTTTGTTGTTATGTAGCCTGACACATAGCAACAATATTTCCAACAGCGCTCCTTCCTCTGGTGTTTTTATTACACATATGTCTCAGAAAGACTCCAGCTGCTTTTTTTCAGTGTCGGGGTTCAATGATGTACATATATATGATCAATGAATGGTTATGATTTGGGGTCTGTACAGTAATTTCTAATTATCCAGTGTTTTATTCATTAAAACTTGGATGCTTTGTTTGTGGCTGTGCTTTGATAGTGTCCAGTTGTTGAGTCTTTTAAAAGATTCCATAGTACATATTTATCCCCGGAGAAGACTTGCCAATCCCACTTTACACATTTTTAAGGCTCTGGAAACTTTTCCCTAAAGTTTTGCCACCGTGCGTCCCAGCCTCTTCCCCACAGAGCGAGTCCTTTTGTGTTGTTTTTGTTCCATCCCAAATCCACATCTCGATATATGGCTCAAGATGCTGTCCTTCTTTGAGCTCCTGGTTTACATAAATTATGAACTACGTGGTCTTACGGCTGCATCCCCTGCTTTCAAATAGAACTTCCCTCACTGCTCAGCCAAATCAAGAATTCCGTTGGCAGTGAGACATATTGCATTTGACAACTCCAAGAAAGACTTTCTGGAGGATAGCGCTTTATTTTGGGTGACCTAATTGTACGCTCCCCATGGCTGCTTCTTGTGCGGTGCATCTATCCCCCCCTCACTCCTGAAACAGCTTCATTTCTACATTCAAATTATTCATCATTGCCTGCTTTTTTTTCCAGTTTTCTTATTTCTTCACTTTTCCTACCTTTGGTGTTCTCTGCGGGGATTTGAGATGAGGAGGAGAAGAGGAGTATGGATGGGGAAAAAAACGTCTTCTTTGTTTTTTTTGCTCACAAGCTATTGTTGAAACACCTTAAGTCTCTGGTGTACGGCACCAGCTGAAGTGATAGACAGGGCTGCCCTATTTACCGCCAGATTAAAAAGAATCACGCAGGAAGACGCGGCTAAATGATGATTGTCTATGACATTTAACAATTGATTAAAGAAAGATAAGTTTTAATAGGTGCCGCTGCTGCTCGTAATGTGGGTGTTTGAGGGAAAGGGGAGGGGCTGGGATTCTTCACCAAAGACACTGTTTTCTTACACATGCCATATCTCTCTGCTTGTAACAATGAAGTGATAAATTTAACATAAAAACATGCAAACCACATCAAAACCAGAACACATATTGAAGTTAATGACGGCTGCTTTAAAGTTGTACAAACAAGTGGGACTTTTAAGCACGATGACACAAAGCAGTTCTCTTTGTGTAAATATAAGAGTGTCTTTGTCTTTATAGATATAGTTTCATAGTCACTGAATGAGGCGACGTGGGGCTTCCTGTTTTCGGTTCTTTGTAAAAGTAAACTGAAAATGTTTTAAGAAATATGAAAGGTCAAGCTAAAGTTCACAGATCATCTCTAGGAATACAAAACCAAGCATAATTTAGTTCCTAAAGCCACCTATTTGAGTAGGTATATCAATGAATGTTGAAAGCCATTGTCGTATCACCTGCTAGTGTCAGTGTATCTTTGATTCAAACCACTGAGAATGCTTGACCATAGAACCATGGAAGTATTGGACAAATGACCTAATATAAGAAAACATACCATAGTCAGGTGTTGCAGAGCCTAATGGTAGCGCTTTGAGAATTATTATTTTTTCAATCAAAACACACACTGTAATGAATGCACTCATGGTCCTATAAGGGCTGCAGGCTCCATCACAAGAGGCGCCTGAAAACGCGACGTCAAAGTTTGTCTTCTCTGTCCTGAGGGCCAATTCAATTCAATGTATTCTTGCATAGCCCTGAGTCGCAACAATAGTTATCTTGGAGGACAAAACCAGTGATTTCGCCAGCAGAGAATCAAACAGTTCAAACACAAAAAATGCAATGATAAAAAGCACACAGAGCCTTTGGTCCATAAGGGGCAGATGACCAATGTCCAAAAGTGTTGATACATGTCCATAAAATATTGAATATCGAGTGTCCTGGATTATCATCACTGTCCTTTGACCTGGAACTCTTTATCTCAAACTGAACTTGGACTTTGCTTGTTTAATTTATGAACCAAAGTAACTTTTTAATAGAAGCCAGTCATCCATGACTTTTACGCAGGCTGGTACACCTGTATATGTACAGGTATATGCATAATATACAGGTGTGTACGTTTAACTAACTAATTATGTACTGTATAGTTGTAAATAACAAAATAAAAAAACTTATTTGGGCCACTTAAAGCACTGATTGTCCCCATAAAAAAAATTATAATACCCAAACAACACTTTCAGTTGTTTTAATTTTAATTTAATACTCCGAGTGCAGTCGCTTCTCCATAGACATACAGTAACTTGTACCGATCTAACGTGAACATTATCAGTGACGCTTATTTCTGTTCGTCTCAAGATAGTTAGATAACACCAGCAATGTTACACAGTGCTCAACATAATAATGACAAAAAACACTCTCCAAACATTGCGCTATATTCTGTATTCTTTGTCACTTGGGGGAAATTTTGATGAGATTCTTCTGTTCTTTTACTTGGTACATAACTTGTCAATATTACCTCCCACAGTCAGCCTGCGCCTTGCCTCATGCTAATTACAATGGTGTTACCAAAGCGATCCATTGCAGAGACATGGCACACCAGAGTGCACAAGTCTAGTAGTGACAGCAAGACAGACAAGGGATGAGAACTTCCAACTCCACTGCCTGAGCTGCTAAAAGGGACCGCTCTGACAGATATTTGCGTGGGACAACTTTCCAAAATAGACTCAAAGAAGAGCCTGGAAAACGCTGTCGGCAAACGTCTCGGTCAAGCGGTTATCAAAGCTGCACGCTCGCTTTGCAAAGACACGACGCGTGACATTATTTTTAGCTTGTTTTGCTATACATTGGCAGGTGTGACAAAGTTATCAGAAAGTAGATTGAGATCGCTGACTGCTGTCTAAGAACGGCAGGAGTATTTCTGTATACAAACAAGCGCGTGCATAATTTCTCCGTTGAGAGAGAATTTGTGGAAGTGGAAAAGGAAATTAGTCCCAGTTGGTTGTTATTCTGTTGCTCATAAAGTTTGCGAACAAAAGTGTGAAAGAACAAGTTGAGTTCCCCCGCCAACTCTGACGAATTCAACTTAATCTGAGGGTAATGAGCTAGGTTGCGGCGCATTTAATACACATTGAGAACACAAATTAACAACTCAAGAGCTACTTCACATTATTACAAGATTTTATTTTATTATCGATCTTTATTTAACCAGGAAAGTCCTACTGAGAGTTCCGAATTTCTTCCTCCTGAACCCAGACTTATACATTGTTTTATTATTTTATCAACAATAAAACAACAAAACTATTCACACACAGATCCAGGACATAAAGAACACAATTCTCCTTAAAAGCATATATTAATGAGTTAAGGACAAGGCGACAGCACAGAGGGGGACAGAACGAAGCTGGACGGGACAAGGTCATCAGGAAGTCCAGCTCGTTCATGGGCAGTCCCCTGGACACATTTCAGTATTCTTGTCCCTCATTCATAAACTGCCTCTCGGAATATAGAGATTTATTATCAATCTATTACAAAGCTGAACAAAGTTGTGTGTTCCCTTCATGGCTGGTTTTCCTTCTGATCTCAATCTGCTTACTGTAAATGCATAAAAGGGCAAACCTCATACTCATGGCAACGCACAATTTATAAAAGACTTTAACAACAATTGACAAACAGTTGATGGATGATATTATCAGGCTTAAAAAAAATAAGTTGGGCATGCATACTTCTTAGATGGAAGAGCACTGGTAATCATGTATTATGTGTCTTTTGTGTATTAAAATCTGTTGAAAGTAAATAAGTAACGTTTATTTATATAGCGCATTCCACAAGGTCACCAAAAGCGCTTTACAATGTTCAGAGTTCAGATATTGTCCCAATCATTCCACACACGGTGATGACGGAAGCGAGTCACCGAACACACCGGACCATCAGCCCCTAAGACATCAGACAATTTCATACACAAGGCAACTCAAAGTGCTGAACAAAATAAGATAGCATTAAAATCATAAATAATCACAGTACATTAAAAAAATATACTGTGCCACCGTGCCACCCATGCGTCGTATGATTATTTCTATGTCACTTGTGAGGCCTGTGGCTCTCGGCAAAACCCTTCTGTGAGTGCAGGTAGGGGTCAGATGCCTAATACATTACAGCTCATAAAAAAAAAAAAACCTAAAATCCATTATATACTTTTTGAATGTAAGATCCATTGCTTTGTTGAATCCACAGTTAAACTCATCTTTGCACAGGGGCACGTGTAATATACTCCCATTAGAGTAGTACATTCAGTGCATAGCTAATTGCATTCCCCAAAACACCTCATCTCAAACCTAACACTACCTAACAAACTGTGTGTGCTTTTAGTTCCAGTTAACGATAACTAAGATTAGAAGTTCAATCCCGAAAATGGCTCCCGGCGGGGTGTCTTTTTGTCGAGTTAAGTCTTAAACTATTTACCCTCCCAAAAAAGTTTGAGCACAAGGAAAAAAAAAAAGTGTCAGATAACAAATCACGTCCCCCCGCCAAGCCTGACAAATACGACTTAATCGGAGCGTAATGAGTTGGGGCTGCGCTGCGCCGTAAATAGTCTTGTTTGTCTCCGTAGGGCGCAGCGCTGGCCTGGGGAAGGTTCCTGGCAGCTCTGCGAAGTGCGGCGCTGCCCCGTGGGGAAAACGGGGGCATGCGCACGGCCCCCCTCCCGCCCCACTACACCCACCAACCCTCTCGCCTTGCGCCTCACCCTCACCTCTCCCACACCCCCCACCTTGGCAACAGCTGGCGCGCTCCGTACCCCTCGCTGATCAAATCGTGTCCGTCACATTTCTCCTAATTAACGGGCATCTGCTCCCCCCCCCCTGTTTCGCACCCCTTCTGACGGATACAAGCTTTTTTCTGTTGTACTTCCAAGGCATGTGATCGTGGAGACCGTTGACCCGAGGTATGATTAGAGTACACATATTTAGGGAGACGGGTGCCAAGGTAAGGCGGGCGCATATGGACAGTGGTAAATAATGATGATGATGTAAATAAAAAGGTTGAGTTTATCCCTTTAAAGGTTTGAACAAACCTTTTGTTGGAGTCACTGTTGGAGTCACTGTGACTACTTGAAGCTTCAAACCAAGCAGGGCAGGCTGCTCAGACCACAAGTTCGGAAAGAGTAGATTTCAATATTCCATCCATCCATCCATTTTCTACCCTTTAATCCATTTCTGGGTCAGGGGGGTGGCAGTCAGAGATGCCCAAGTCTCATAGCACCAGCCCCTCACTGACCCTCTGCAGGTGGTGAGTCCACAGGAGGACGGCTGCTCTCTGAGTGTGAGCATAGCCTTGATCTTTCAGTGGGGGCTTTGGGCAAAGTGGGGTTAAGTGTCTTGCCCAAGGACACAACTACAGCAGTCATCAGTGGGAGTCGGTGGAGAAGGTGTAGAGGTGGGAATTGAACCCACGACCTTCAGGCCTGAAGGCCAATGCTCTACCAACCGAGCTACTGTCGCCCTGAGTAAATTGAATCAAGCGTTGTGTAACTCATAACCCAACTTTGAGATTCAAATGGAAAAAATATAATGTGTGTATTATAATGAGGTAACAACATTTTAGAAGGTTTAAAGCCGGGGTACCTAACTTTGTTTTGCTTTATACTGTATATAATAAATTGTGTTGTCCAAATAAAACATATATTTTGTGAACAAATCAGACTACTACATTCTGTCTATCTTCTAGACGATACGATGTGACGTACGGGCGGCACGGTGGATGAATGGATAGCACCCTTGCTTCTTTGCAAGAAGATCCTGGGTTTGGAACAGGAGTAGAGTTTGCATGTTCTCCCCGTGTATGCGTAGGTTTCCGGGAACTCCGGTTTCCCCTACCACTAAACACATGCACAATGGGTCAAATCCTCCAGCTCTGGTAGTCCTGACCAAGCCGAGCACCAACATCTGGAGCTGTTAGGCGACAACTGCTGCTCACACACGCCCTAGTGGATTCAGGATGGGTCAAGGATGAAATTCCCTACAGGGACATAAAGTGCACATTTACATTTACATTGCATCTAGTTTCATGAAGGAGCCCAGTAAGTCACTATTTGACACTATGGGCTGGGAGCTGAATGGCTTTGAGGGTGGTCCTGTCTTATCCACTTTTCTATTGTAAAAAGCTGATCAGATTATGTAAGAGAAAATAAATAAATATTCCAGGGAAAATAAGTGAAAACAGTTTTCTTATTTGTAGTTTGAAAGTTAGGTACCCCAGCCTTTACGTGATATAGATTTGATAGATCAATTGTCCAAGAAACTGCCATCACCATGGAAACCCGCAATGTTGGTTGGCAGCAGTGCAAACATCAGAGATACAATGCCAAAACAATGTTAAAAAGGACAACTCCATACACTGGGTTTGGGTTACATCCATCAGAGCTATACATTATTATAGCTCTATGTGTTTGTATTATTACCGATAACTAAAATCAAAAACAGCTGAAAAATATGTGAAAGGCGTTTTTTTTTGTGTTTTTTTTTAATCCAAATCAATTTCAGTGCAATTAAAAAAAGTTCCACCCCTCTTTGAACAAATCCTTTCTAAATTACTGCCAATAACAAAACGTGTTGAAGATTGTAACTTGAGGAATACAAGTTTGGAGATTGGATTGTTTTTTTGCAAATTAACTCCTACATGAGCTCTTGAATCCAGAACACTTTAGCAACCTGGCATCCACCACAGTTTCTTTTTAAATATATCTTTACATGTGTTTATTTCTGTTATTGTTTTTTTTTTACTTCGGTTTATCTTTTCAATTATGTTTTATGTTGTGACTTTGAGGATCATATTGGAAGAACTTAGGCAACTCTAAAGCAAAGATCAATCCATAAGCCAAAAGCTATCTTCTAGAGACGATTGCTGCAATATTTATAACAATTTGTTTTTTATTTAAAGGCAGAACAATTCAAGAAAATGTGGCGAAACAGGAGAATGACAGGGAAGATAAAAAAGGAATAAATAAATACAACATACATAATAATAGATAAATAAATGAATTGATAAAGGAAAAAATACCTATTATATATACATTCAAACAAGTATAATTATAATCTTACTACACTATACAAGATTTCAAATGTAATTCAGAAAAAAATAACAGTGCAGGTGAAGCTCAGAATATTACAGAAGTTAATTTATTTCTGTGACATGCAAAGTTACAAATGCCGAGAGTTTGTCATAATTTTGATGGGAAGTGGAAAAACAGTTCATGTTTTATTAGGGGTGGTTTTTAGCTGTGAGCCAATGATTGACAATATAACAAAGATAGGCTTTTCATGTCAAGTCATCATTAAAAGTATCCTGACTCTCACCCGACCCTTGTAGATCGCCGCGCTTCTCACATGGGTCTGGGTCTGTCACTCCCGGATTCGTCCCGGAAACCGGATTCGTCCGGAAGTTCAGTTTGCGCATGTCAAAAAGTTTAATATGTCCTTAAGTGGTGACTGGTTAAGTTTAGGCGTCTGATTAAGATGGTTAAGTTTAGGGTTAAGGCTGGGTTGGGGTTATTTTATGGGAATGGCTGGTTAAGTTTAGGCATGAATAGGTAGTTTTTTATATTTACTTCCGCTTCCGTCCAGATTCCGTGACGTAATCTACTGCTGCGTATGCTCATTGGATCAAACTGAACTTCCGGACGAATCCGGTTTCCGGGACGAATATGGGAGTGACAGGGTCTATTCTGTAGTGGATACATTTCAGAAGGCGGGGCCTTGTAAAAAAATCCTTGTATGTGATTGGATAAACCACTTGTTTGTTATCTTGAATGACGTGTTCCTTCAACCACTCACATCGAAGCACAGGACTCCCATGGGTTGCCAAATGCCTGCAAGATTTCCCAAAACCCTCGAGAATGCCCAAAAAAAAAACACCCAGAATGATTTTTTGGCTAAAAACGTAATGTAATAAACTTTGGCTATCATGATTCTGTTTACTGTATTTCTGTTTATTTATTACCAACAAGTCTCTTGGAAAAAAGTATGCGGTTTTATAGCCCAAAAATCTTGTTTTTGTTTTCATTTCAATGTCCCGCCCTCCACCCTTTCACCAATCAGAAAGTCTGTGATCCGGGTTGCCAGAACTCACCACGTCAAGCCAATCTCACTGGTAAAGTAACTTCTGGCCGCAGAACTAAACAAGTTTTGATTCTCAAATCATTCATGACAAAACAAGGAATAAAAAGAGGATTATTCTCTTTGTGATAGATTTGTTGCTGACAAAACTCTTAATTCAGATATTATGGTCCCAGCTGGATTTGTCTGCATATCTGGCAACCTGTGTCCAGGAGAGTGCAGTACCACCTTTGGCCATAATGCTCCTGTAAGTAAAAGTAAAAGGACTGTTGAACAATTTGTTATAATTTGCTAAATTATACAAAATAAAATGTAAATATGATAATTTTGAGCCACAAATTAGCTTTCATTGAACAATGAGTCTAACAGTAATTGTTATAGATTTAGATTTGTTGGATTTCAAATACAAAAACAGCCATAGAAATTCTCCCCCTAAAATAATACATGTCCAGTGCTTTACCTGCTGAGAGCACACGCACAAGAGCCCACAAACAAGCCATTAGATTGGGATAGTTAGTATTCAGGCTGAGCTTTCAGAGCAATTTGCCTATTTTTAAAGTAATTATTTCACAGTTTAGGCTCAAAAATGGAACTTTGATTTGTGAGTGGTTATCGTGGCTTTTTGTTTCAAATGTTAAACGGTCTATCGGAGCAGAGATGACTGAGCTAATGGGATGAGTTTTCAAACAGAAGTGTTGCAAACAAATAAATATTGCACTGAATCAGGCCAGGTGTAAATTCAAATGCCTGTTATTGCAGGTAATAGCTGTATTTAATGTCCGATCATGCGTATTAAAGATTGGATTTTTTTTGTTTGACATGGCAACTGCAAGTTAAAACCATAAAAATTCTTATATGGAAAGAATGTGCTGTTTTGATACTTGTCAATGGCACCTCACAACAACAAAAAAAGTAGCTATGAATGAATGATGAAAACCACAAGCTGCAGGTGTTAAATTCAGGCTAGAACCATTTTATTTGGTTCATGATTCTTGCAAAAGTGCAGAAATGTTTCATAATATAAAGCAAGGTTATTTTTAAGAAGATTGTTAAGGATTCTAACATTGTGGCATACATTAGTCTTTCCAACACCGCACTGACCAAACTGCTGGTGGTAAACTGGCAAAAGGGTGTGTATTAAAGGTGTACAGATAACTTTCCTGGTGCAGTGGAAAAACTCCAAGAAAACATATAAATACGTGTACGTACATACATACCAGCGATTGCCAACCTTTTTATTGCCACAGACTCATTTAATTTCATACATACAGTAGGTCTGGATTTGCTCTATTGAGCTCTGTTAACTCCTTTTGTAGACAGAAACAATTGGATCCGAGTTTGCCGTGACGTATGTAATAAGCGAGTGATGCATTTAACATTTACTGTATATACCTTTACAGTGTGTCATTCGGCTAAAAGAGATATACACACGCTCTAAGATATGTGTTCAAAGTAAATATTCTCAGTCATGGGCCACAATTAATGCCACATATAGTTTCTTACAATAATGTTCTTCAAATATTTGCCATTAATGATTACTCATACTTATCATACTTACACCTATTGTTTATACCGTTGCTTATGTAAATGTCTGTATTTGTCTGCGCACATGGGGACTTTTTGCTAATGTATTCCAATGTGTTTTTTTTACTGCAAATGGCAAATAAACTGAATCTGAAATCTGAATCTTAATCTGAATCATATTGTATACATTCACTTACAC